AGTCTGTTTCTTGGTTTGTCTCTCTTTATTTCCTTTGCTCATTTGTTTTGTTTCTAAAATTACATCTATGAGTGAAATCATATGGTATTTCTCTGATTGAGTTATTTTGCTTAACATTATACTCTCTATCTCCATCCGTGTCATTGCAAATGGCAAGATTTCAATCTTTTTATGGCTGAATAATCTTACATTGTATATATACCACATTTTCTCTATCCATTCATCAACCGATGGATACTTAGGCTGCTTCCATATTTTGGTTATTGTAAATAATGCTGCTATAAACATAGGGGTGCATGTACCCCTACAAATCGGTGTTTTTGTATTCTTTGGGTAAATAGCCAGTAGTGAGACTGCTGGATTGTAGAGTAGTTCTATTTTAACTTTTTGAGGAACTTCCATACTTTTTTCCACAGTGGCTGAACCAGTTTGCAATTCCTGCCAACAATACTGAGGGTTCCTTTTTCTTCACATCCTCACCAAATGATGTTGTTTCTTCTGTTGTTGATTTTAGCCATTTTGACAGGTGTGAGGTGAAATCGCATTGTAGTTTTCATTTACATTTCCCTGATGATGAGTGATGTTGAGCGTTTTTCATGTGTCTGTTGGCCATCTGGATGTCTTTTTGGGAAAATGTCTGTTATGATGAGCACACTATGAAGGTGCACACAATTTGTGTCTTTCCACAATGTCAGTTTTATTCAATCATAAGATAAAATTAATCACAATTATAAAGCAGGTTCCAGATTCCAAACTCAGTGACATTTCACCATGTGATTAAATTTAGCTTCTTAAGTAGCACACAGAGCAGAACATAAGACAAACCACACAACAAACAAGATAACAGAAGGGTGTAGGAAGTTAATGAACCAAACACGAAGTCAGTCTGTGGGTGTGCAGTTGAGATAAGGTCTTGGTCCAGTCCAGGTCAGCTCTTGGCACTAACTGCTTATTATGTTCAAGCAGTGAAGGATCTCAGTTCAGTTCAGAGATCATTTGGGCAGAGACTTTGGTGGCAATTGCCTTTTTTAAGTGGTCAGACATAGAGGGGTCATGTCTGAGGAGTCTGACATTTTGCTGCAAAAATCCTCCCTTTTTTAAAGGAATTTAATTGGTCTTGGGCCCCTGCAGACCTCCTCTGGTTCTATTTGTTATCAGTTCTGGGGTGTCAGCTGATGCTGATCCCAGCAATATCTTGTGGCTGCAGTATCTTTAACTATGTGCATCATTGCTTGACACAGGCCCCTGCTTGACACAGACTCCTGCTTAACATGAGAGACTCCATTTTGCTCCCTACATCTGTTCATGTCTTCTGCCCATTTTTAATTGATTTTTTGTTTTTTAGATGTTGAGTGGTATCAGTTCTTTATCTATTTTGGATACCAACCCATTATTGGATATGTCATTTGCAAATGTCTTCTCCCATTCTGTTTTGTTGATTGTTTCCTTTGCTGTGCAGAACCTTTTATGTTGATGTAGTCCCAATAGTTTATTTTTGCTTTTGTTTCCCTTGCCTTAGGAGACCTAACTAGAAAAAACTTGTTATGGCCGATGTCAGAGAAGTTACTACCTGTGTTCCCTTCTAGGATTTTTATGGTTTCAGGTCTCACATTTAGGTCTTTAATCCATTTTGGACTTATTTTTATATATGATGAAAGGAAGTGATCCAGTTTCTATCTTTTGCATGTTGCTGTCCAGTTTTCCCAACACCATTTTTTGAAAACACTATCTTTTTCCCACTGGATAATCTTGCCTCCTTTGTTGAAGACTAATTGACCATATAGTTATGGGTTTATTTCTGGGCTCTCTATTCTGTTCTGTTGCTCTCTGTGTCTATTTGTGTGCCAGTACCATACTGTTTTGACTACTATAGCTTTGTAATATAACTTGAAGTCCAGAATTATGAGGCCTCCAGCTTTGCTTTTCCTTTTCAAGGTTGCTTTGGATATTTGGGGTCTTTCATGGCTACATACAAATTTTAGAATTGTTTGTTCTAGTTCTGTGAAGATTACTGTTGTATTTTGGTAAAGATTGCATTAAATGTGTAGATTGTTTTGGGTAGTATAGACATTTTAACAATATTTGTTCTTCCAATCCATGAGCATGGAATTTCTTTCCATTTCCTCATGTTGTCTTCAACTTCTTTCATCAGTGTTTTATAGTTTTCAGAGTACAGGTCTTTCACATCTTTGGTTAGGTTTATTCCTGGGTATCTTATTATTTTGGTGCAATTGTAAATGGGATTGTTTTTGCAATTTCTCTTTCTGCTGCTTCATTATTGCTGTATAGTAATGCAAGATTTCCATACATTGATTTTGTATCCTTTGACTTTACTGAATTTCTTTATCAGTTCTAACCATTCTTACTGGACTCTTTAGAGTTTTCTATATATAGTATAATGGATGTCTTTTGAAGTGGATGTCTTGGCAATCAAAAGTTCAATGGCAAGTACTTACACTACAGAAATTTAGATTTCAGAGGCTAGTCCATGTTATACAGGTGCTAGTGGTGACACTGGGGAGTGAAACTATGGCTGTTGTAATCAGACCAGAATCCATTTGAGAAGGAAGTAAATAGACTATTACTTAGCAGCCACAAAGACATAGGTCAGCATCCTGTTTCAATCCTTTATATGCTCTCTGATATTAAAGATGACATTTAAGTAATCTGATATATACACATAAAATGCTAACATGCAGAGCTTAAAAGAGGACTTTTCTCAGTTTAATAACTATTTAACAGCCATACGGCCTGTTCAGTAAATGAAATGAGAACAAATTGTCCAACAAAATTTCAAAGTTTCATAGTGTACTCTCTCAGCTTGTGGTAGGTTCACTCCCCTGTCAATAAATATCTTGAATTCAATACTGGATCATCTTGAGAATTACCAGACAACATTATGCTGGTATGACCATAAAATTCTAGGATAAGAATTTAAATAAGAAAGAAACTACAAGTAAATGTAGCTTCCACAAGAACAGAGATTTCTTTCATTTGTGTTTCTACCATATCTCCAGTGCCTAGGATAAAGAAGGTATTCATGTGTATTTCTTGAATGAATGAAAGGCACCAGAGACTTTAAGAAAGTGAAAGAACAGTTCAGGGAGGCAAGGAGATTCACACACACCCACAGATCCCAGCAGAGCTCAGACTCCCTTCTTCAAGCCTGGCATTCACCCAAGATAGTATGCTGTGGAATAAAGAAAAAAATGATCCACAGTTCAGCTAAAGTCATTTAAACAGCACAGTAAAAGCAGCCCTCCTCTGATAATTGACATCCATTGTCAGTCCAGATACTGTATAGAATCATCTCCAGATGGTTTTTTATCACCTAAATATTGCATAGTTACAACAAATGTTTAAAAACAAATAAAAGCTGAAATGAAAATATATGAAAATTCATGGTAAAATTATAGTTCCCTTTTCATCCTCAAAAGCGTCAGTGATTTTCAGCAAGTGGGGACTTTGTCCAAGATGAACCTCAGAGGCCATTGCAAAAGTCTCTTTTCTTTAGAAAACAAAGACAGGGGATTGCTGGAGAAGGTGGTTATAGGGGTAAGAGATGAGCCCCCGGAATTGATCTTCCCAGGGGCTGAAGGCCAAGTAAAGTAAGTCAAGGGGGATGGACTTTCAAGTCAAGATGGTGAGTAAATTTAGTTCCTACTGCTGCTGTAACACATTACCACATTCTTGGCGACTCAAAATAACACAAATGTATTAGCTTACAGCCTTGATGTTGGGAATACAAAAAGGACCTCCCTGGTCTGAAATGAAGGTGATGGTCAGGCTTCATTTCTCTGAGGGATCCTAGGGAGAATCTGCTTTTCTTGCCTCTTCCAGCTTCTGGAAGCTGCCTGCATTCCTTGGGCCCTGGCTTTGTTTCATCTTCAAAGCCAGCAATGGCCTATCCAGTCTTTCTCATGCTACTGTGATGTGACACTGACTCTTCTGCCTACTTCTTCCACATTTGAAGTACTTTTGTAATTACATTGGCCAGGAAGAGACCCAGCATATTTTTATTTTAAATTCAGCTGATGAGCAATCTCACTTCGATCAGCCATCTTTACTTCTCCTTTGCCCTGTAACATCACATATTTACAGGTTCTGGAGAATAGGATGTGGACATCATTGAGGGACCTTTATTCAGCCTATCACAGTGAAAGTGCCATTTAATTGGGTTTAAAATGGGCACCAGCAGGTTGGTGCTCAACCACGTGCTTAAACACGTTGCTCTGTTTGCCCCGTGGAGCACAGAAAGGAAGGGCTCGAGACTAGAGGAAGGATGTAGGGGTAAAGGAATCAGAGGATTCAAAAACCACCAGGTGCTGACTTGGGAAGTAGGTACATGATGGGGCCTTCCTCCAAAGAATGGCTGGGGAAACTAGACAGGTGTGTATGGCAAGTGGCTGAGATCCAAGCTGGTTCTACTCCCTGCCACGTTTCCACACGGCCGAAGATCATGAGAGCTTGGATGTGACTGCATGCAGAGAAGACTTGATAGGGCAGTTGAAGAAGAGCCAGGACAAGCCCGACCCCTGGCCATGGGGGCAACAGACAGGAAATATCCTAGGACCCAGTGCGGGTCGTGCCTGGCGAAAAAAGGCCCTCTTTGGGCAACTGTGGGGACTGCGAAATGGCAAAAGCATGTTGCCAGTTTGAGTGGGGGGAAAACAGCAGTGTGGCAGAAAGAAGGGAGGCAGAGCAGTGGTTGGTTTTCTCGGGGTAGAGGTGTAGATCTGCCTTCCTTTAGAAAAGGCGCAGTGGTGAGGCCTCGTGGGGGCCCCCCTCCCATCTTCCTCCCTTCAGTGGCCTCGCGAAGCAGTGAAGGAAGAACGTGGGACGGCCACCCACCCCAGAACCTCCGGGGCAGTCTGGCCCTAGGTCGCCTTTCGCCTCGCAGCCTGCTGTCCTGACAGGCCCTGGCCCACCGGCCTCCAGTTAGGATGGTGGACAGAATGGGGGAGAGGGAAGTGGACAGACACTGAGCAGTCTGGGGGCTCTCACACACCGAGGGGCGGCTGATATCCATCCGCTGCTGCCGGCAGCGCACCTTCCCCGCCCCGCCGCCCCCGACCCCTGGATCCTAGCCCCCACCGCCAACCCTCCCCGGGTCCCATAGATTGCAGGGCCAGCAATGAGGGGGTGGTCGCCGCGGAGGTCTGCAGAGGCGCGCTGCTGTGAGCCCGCCCCTTAGGCTGGGGCTCCTCCCGGCCCCGCCCCCTTTGGGTCGGAACTAGGGTGGGCCGGGGAGGGGGCGTCGAGCCCATTCGTGTCGTATCCCTCCGCCCCCCTTCCCGACACCCTCGCCGCGAGCGTTTCGTGCCGCATCCTGCGCAGCCCCTGCCCAGTTTGGTGCAGCGGCGCGGGGGGCGGGACGCCTCTTTGCGATTCTGGCCGCACGCAAGGCGGTGGGAATCCGAGTGAGGAGCTCCGAGAGGAGGGGGGAGGCCAACGACCTGCACCTTGAGCCTGTGAAGGCAAGTGGGGGTGTCGTGGGGGGAGGCGGGGGGACCCCCCACTGTCTCCCGGCTTCCAGCCTTCCCGGACCCCAGACCCTGGCAGCCTGGCCAGGAGGAGGCGATCTCCCTGAGAGAGGTGCGCAGCGCCGCGGGACCCCTGGCGAGGAGAGGCGGCGACTGGCGCGGGCCGGGCCCCCGGGCACCGGGGCTGGCCGGAGAGGCTCCCTCGGATCCTCTGGAGGCGAACTGCTCCCGCCACTCCGCGGCCAGCTTTCCAGGCGCCCGCGACCCGCCGTCGACGGTGCCTGTGCCGGGAGAGAGCTGTGGGGGGAGGCTGCTGCGGAAGAAATGGCGGAGCCGGAGCTGGGGTGGGGGGCGCCCAGGGAGGCCGCCGGGGCGGGGGGGCGGGATGGCGTCCGAGCTCTGTGCCCATCTGGCGGGAGCGGGTGGCCGGTGGCGTCGGCTACTCCGGGCCCTGATTCTGGAAAGGGGCCTGTTGGGTCCCGCGCCCTGGGCGCTGTCCTTTCCCACAGGTATCTGGTTGAAGCCAAAGTCTTCTCTCTGCGCAGTAGGTCTGGCGGTTTCCTCCCGCAGGGTGCATCTGTAGAGGAGAGGCTTGAGAAAAAGGAGGAGGAGGACAATGGCCTGGATTTCTGGAGGTGTGTGGGGCTAGGGGGGATGGGCAGCAGCCATTGAGTGGAAAGCTGAATTGGGGTGGGGTGACCGGGACCAGGACAGGTCAGGCGTCCAGGAATACCTTCTAAAATTCCCCTTTGTATTAGCTTTTGAAGCACTTCCCTTGCCTTCCTCACCACTGAAAATTCGTGGTAGGAAAAGATGGGCTAGGAGGTGAGGGTGAGACACAAGTCATAATTACAAGGGCCACTGCACATGCTGTTTTCTGGAATGTGCTGTGTATTTTCCCCCATTTCTGTAGTACAGCACAAAGGAGTGTGAACACCTAGTGGTGAATCCTCTTAATTGGAGAAGGGAATAATGGGAAGAGTTGTTATCCAGAACCGTGAAACAGAGGGCCTAAATTGAATGAGAATATTCTATCAACAGGACCCTAAATGTTAGAAGATAATATGGATACTCTTCTCTTTGGTGTTGGTCAGTCCACCAAGCACTCAGTTGCTACCATTATTTCCTGAATGTTTTGCCTTTGTGTCTGTCCATAGACCTGGTTTAAGGCTGCTCACTTCTGTAAAGGAGAGAGGAGGAGACTGGTTCAAATCTCTGGAGGTTGGTGTGAAGGTGGGTAAATCAGGGGAGTACTATAGAGTAAGGTCATGGCAAGTGTCTTTGATGCTCGTGGGTCTGGGACCTCCTCCACCTCTCCTGCTTGCTGCCAGATTTGCACACTGCCACAGCATCCCTTGTCCATTTCCTGCAGGAGATACTAAGAATATTGGGGTAGGTGTGGATTGGCTCTGAAGGGAAGGAGAAGACCTGAGAGCAGGGACAAGGAGACAGGAAACAGACAAATGGAATTCTTATGGTAAGAGAGATATTTGCATCAGAGGTCAGCGCGCCCTCTTAATCTATCTAGCAGTCAGGCTCCATTCTCTCCTTTATTTTTACTTATTCCTAGGACAGCCTCCAGGCTGCTTTAGGGTTTGACAACACTGGAATCAAGGAAAGGAGGGGAAAATCGCACCACATCTGTATAGATTGGTATGAGAGTGGGTACAACTTTGGATGGGGAAGTGGAAATCAACACTGGCCCAAGAGTGATTATGGTACTCTGGGGCTCCTAAACCTCTCCCATTGCCAACACTTACCAGTTTCATACCTGTTTTGTATCAGACAAAGTAACGTGGCAAATTCTGGGGTAAAACATGGGTGAAATGAGGGTGACAGAAGACTTTCTAACTAGTCCAACTGTCCCAGTAAACATTCAAAATCCAGTCTCTGTGTGAATCTCTGCCTGGAGCAACACAATTAGAAGAGATTCAAAGCCCCATGTCATTCTCTTTCCTTAGATCCACCTCCATTGGCAGCTCTGGTGGTGTTGGAATTGCTGCTGACCACCACCCTCAACAGGTCTGCACCCACCCAGGAACATCCATCGTCCCCCAGCTTGGTTGGGCCTCTTCTGCACTTTGTGATACTGACCGAGGCTAGGCTTCGGAAGGAGCTTGATTGACTGATGGACTAGTGATTGACTCTTAACATTTGTTTCCAGCTCTACCACCTGAATCACTGAAAGATCAAAGTGTGAAGATACAAAATTGAGAGATCTGTGGTAGAGGCTGAGACTGGGGTGGGGTTACTTAACTGGGCTTCCTCTGTAACTTGTACCATGACTGGGGCTGAGATTGAACCTGCTGCCCAGGCAAAGCCTGAGAAGAAGGCTGGAGAAGAGGTTGGGGGTGGGGCTGAAAAAGAGAATGAAATCCTGTTGGTGGTCAGACCCAAGGTTAGGACCCAGGCACAGGTAATGCCTGGGGCAAGGCCTAAATCTGATGCCATGGTAGTAGGTGGTACAAGGCCCAAAGCTGAACCCATGGCAGTAGGTGTGGTGCATCCTAAGAATGAGGCCAAAGCAATCCCTGGGTCAAGGCCCACAGATAAAGCCCATTCATGGGCCCAGACTGAGTTTGATGGTAAAACAATGTTGAAGACAGAGGGAGTGTCCCAGACCAATACCATAGCCTGGCCACTGGTTAGTACTGAGTCTGGGTCAGCTGCTAAATCTAAGATCTTATCTATGGATAGGGAACTGATCAGTCAGGACACTGAGGCCTTTTCTGGCACCAGGGTCAAATTCCAATCAGGAAAACAGCCTTTGTTTGGGTCAGAGGAGAAGACCAATGTGGGGTCCTGGTGGTGCCCCAGGCCTACGTCCAAACAAGAGATCCCTCAGAAGTGTGATTTCAGATGGGTGGACAGATCCTCTCTGAGTTCCTGGTTCTGGAGTGGAGAAGAGGTCAGTACAAAGTTTCATCCTAGAGGCAGGGTAAAGGCCAGTGCCAGATCCAGGCACATAGCCAGAGAAGAGGCCATGTCTAGGCCCAACATCAATCGGGAGTTTTACATTTTGTCTAGTTCTGGCTCTGAGGATGAATCTATTAAGACATCCTGGCTCTGGGCCAGAGAAAAGACTAATATCTGGTCCAGGCCCAAGGAAGAGACCAATAACAGGTCCAGGTTTAGGTCCAAGAAAGAAGTTTCTGAGTCCAGTTCTGGATCTGAATGTGAAGGCAATGTGAAGTCCTGGTTCTGGGCTAGAGAGGAGGCCAAATCCAGGTCCAAACCCAGAGCCAGGAAGGGGGCCAATGTCAGTGCCAGGCACAGGGCCAAGCAAGAAGCTTCCATTGATTTTGTGTCTGGATCTATAGATGTAGTCAAAAAAGAGTCCTGGTTCTGGCCTGGAGAAAAGGCTAATAACTTGCCAAGGCCCAAGTCCAAGAAAGAGGCCAGGACCAGAATAATGGCAAAGGAAAAAGTGAAAACTAAGGCCAGAGTCAGGGCCAAGCAAGGAGCCAAGTCCGAGGAGGAGTTTCTCATTGGGAACTGGTTCTGGGCTACAGAAGAGTCCAGTGTAGTTGGTGGGGCCAGTGTCAAGTACAGTTCTCAAGTGGAGGATGAGTCCATTGTTGGCAGTTGGTTCTGGACTGAAGAAGAAGCCAGTATGAGGACTGATGCCAGCAGTAAATCCAGACCAAGGACTGAGGAAGAGTCTATTGGTAATTCCGTGCTTGGGTCTGGGGAAAAGACCAGTATGGAAACTGGGGCTGAAGCTACCTCTAAATCTATGGTAGCATATGATAAAGAAAAGGTCATTGCTGGTTCCTGCTTCTGGGCTAGTGAAGAAACCAGCCTAGAGGCTGAGGAAGAGACCATTTTTGGGCCCTGGTTTTGGGTCTGTGATGAGGCCAGTGCAGAAGCTGATGTTAGAGCCAGCTGTGCATCGAGGCCAAGGTCTGAGGAAGAAGAGGTCATTGGTCCCTGGTTCTGGGATAGAAAAGAGGTCAATACAGAGGATGAGTTTGGAGAAGACACCAGTCCAGAAGATGAAGAAGAGACAATATTCGGGTCCTGGTTTTGGGCTGGAAACCAGGCCCAGAATGATTCTGGGGTTAAAGTCAGCTGTGACACCATGCCAGGAGCTGAGGAGGAGCCCATTTTTGGGTCATGGTTCTGGGATGGAGTAGAAGCTTGTGTGGGGACTGAGGTCAGCAACAAGTCTAGCCTGAAGGACAAGGAAGAGGTTATTCTATCATCTTGGTTTGGGACCACAGAAGAAGTCAGTATGAAGTATGGAGCTGGTGCCAGATGCAAATTTATGACAGGGGATGATGAGATCAATAATGATTCTTGCTTCTGGGATGAAGACAATCCCTGCATGTATACTGCCAATGGAGGCAGCTGGAAGTCTAGGCCAGAGGAGGAACAGGACACTGTTGAGTCGTCATTCTGGTCCAGAAAGTATGCAAGCCCAGAGACCATTATAGGGCCCTGGTTATGGGCTACAGAAGAGGTCAGTATAGATGATGGGACTGGAGAAGAGGCCAAGCCGCTGGTGGAGGAGGAGACCATGATCACATCCTGGTTCTGGAAAGATGAAACCATTAGGGAGGCTACAGACAGAGAGGAATCCAGGCCAGATGCTGAGGAAGAGGACATTCTTGGTTCTTGGTTCTGGACTGGAGAAGAGGACAGGCTCAAGACAGCAGCTGAGGCTAGAGAAGAGGACAGGCTGGCAGCCGAGGAGGAAGCTATTGTTGGGGCTTGGTTCTGGGCCAGGGAAGAGATCATTAGGAAGGAGGCTGGCTTTTACAACAAATCCAGTCCAGAGGCTGAAGAGGAGGAAGCCACTGTTGGGTCTTGGTTCTGGGCAGAAGAAGAGGCCAGCTTGGAGGCAGGAGCCAGTTTCGAGTCCATGCCAGTGACTGAGGAAGAGGAAATCATTGTTGGGTCCTGGTTTTGGGCTGAAGAAGAATACAGCATAGAGACTGGGCCTCAGGCAGTAGAAGAGAGCAGATCAAGCACAGAAGAAGAAATCATTTTTGGATCCTGGTTCTGTGCTGCAAAAGAAGTCAGTGTAGAAGCAGAGAAAAGCTGTGCATCCAAGCCAGAGGATGATGAAGAGATCATTGTTGAGCCCTGGTTCTGGTCTGGGGAGAAGGACATGAATGAGACTGGAACTGTTGTTACCTGTGAGTCCAGGCCAGAAAGTGAGGAAGGGACAGTTGTTGGGCCCTGGTTTGGTGCTAAAGATGAGGCCAATAACGGGACTGGGTATGGGACCAACTGTGAGACCAGGACAGTAGCTGAGGAGGATGAGGCCATAGTGGGGTCCTGGTTCTGGGCAGGAGATGAGGCCCATTTTGAATCCAGTCCTAGACCTGTGTTCAGGGCCATTCGCGGGTCTGAGTGCTCATTTGAGCAGGAGCCTGATGCCTCACGCAGGCCCCAGAGCTGGGAAGAGGTCACTATTCAATTCAAGCCTGGTCCATGGGGTAGGGTTGGCTTCCCATCTCCAATCCCCTTTAGATTTCCAAAAGAGGCAGCATCTCTGTTCTCTGAAATGTTTGGAGGAAAGCCCAAGCACATGGACCTTAACTCAGAAGGGGAAGAGCAGGAATCTTTGTTTCAGCCTGATCAGCCTGAACCTGAGTTCCCATTTCAGTATGATCCATCCTACAGGTCAGTCAGGGAAATTCGGGAGCATCTTAGAACCCGAGAGAGTGCAGAGCCTGAGAGTTGGTCCTGCAGCTGCATACAATGTGAGCTTAAAATTGGTTCTGAAGAGTTTGAAGAACTCCTTTTATTAATGGACAAAATCCGAGATCCTTTTATTCATGAAATATCTAAAATTGCAATGGGTATGAGAAGTGCTTCTCAATTTACCCGAGATTTCATTCGGGATTCAGGTGTTGTCTCACTTATTGAAACCTTGCTCAATTATCCTTCCTCCCGGGTTAGGACAAGTTTTTTGGAAAATATGATTCTCCTGGCTCCACCTTATCCAAATCTAAACATGATTCAGACATATGTATGTCAAGTGTGTGAAGAAACCCTTGCTTACAGCTTAGATTCCCCTGAACAGCTATCTGGAATAAGGATGGTTAGACATCTCACTACAACTACTGACTACCACACACTGGTTGCCAAGTATATGTCTGGATTTCTCTCCTTGTTAGCCATGGGCAATACCAAAACAAGGTTTCATGTTCTGAAAATGCTAATGAATTTGTCTGAAAATCCTGTCATGACAAAAGAACTACTCAGTGCTGAAGCAGTGTCAGAATTTATGAGCCTTTTTAGCAGGAAAGAGACAAATGACAATATTCAAGTTGTTCTAGCAATTTTTGAGAATATTGGTAACAATATAAAAAAGGAGTCAGTGTTGTTCACTGATGATGATTTCAGTCTTGAGTCACTTATTTCTGCATTCCATGAAGTTGAGGAATTTGCTAAGGAACTGCAAGGCAAAACAGATGGTCAAAAGGACCCTGAGGCAGACCGAGAAAATTAGTATGATTAATAACTTGCCTTTGTCCTTATGTTCCTAAGTTAACAATTCCTTGAATAATGTTTTGAATTACATAGTTGATTCTGTGTTGTAATGTGTATCTTTATTGCCAACACTGACTTTGCCCAACTGTGTATGAGCTGATTCTTCTGATGCCAAATGAATATTAGAACTGAAAGCACATTTGTTGATATTTGTGTTTTTGTCCAGATTGTGACACTTAGTATTTAAGTTAAAGTGAACTGAACCATCAAAAGTAAGCCAGCTACCCTTCTGATTGTTGTTCTAGTGTACTGAGGTCTATTTGAGTCTTGTTTGTGTTTTCAATAAAGTTGTGTTAAAGTTGTCAGAAGTCACCCTTCTCCTTGAACTTAAAATATAGATGCAAAGATAACACAGGAACGCATGCAGGTAATTAATGCATAAATAATATGCTCCTTGAAAAAGCTTGTTCTAATAACTTTAAATGCAAGGGTTACCATGGGCTGCTACTCAGGGCATGCCTCAGAGAAAAAGGACCCAATTAAGTGGGGCTCTGGAATATTTGAAAAAGTTTGGGTGGTGTGAAGAAAAGCATGGAGTTGGAAAAGGTGTTTTCCATGGGAGTGAGTTATCCAGTCAGCCTGGAGTGGTTAAGGGATATAGAGGATGAGGTAAGTTTTGAAGAGCTGAGAAGTTGCATTTTGCAGCTCAAAGTATAGGTGTTTCTTTGATACTGCCTAAATGTTAAAAGATTAAGACGGGAAAGTAGACAAAATTAACTGAGGAAAACTATTTCTTCAGGGTGGTGGCTCTGGTGGTTTATTTGGTGAAATAGAAAAGACTGGTATCATACATGGAAAGTATAACTCCATTATAAAAATAAATGTGTGTGAGTGGACCAAATTTATGCAAGCTTATATTTGATTATGGAAAGATCTGTAATGATATAAAACATACCAAGGGAATAGATAATTGTAAGAGACTACAATTTAAAAAAAAACTAGCTTGCCAAATAAAAATACATAAGTTAAAGGGAATAAATTTTAAAATTTCCAAAAAGTTCCTGAATCATACTACAGATTTTTCACATTCAAAAAGGTAATATATATTCAGACAGGAGTGAAAGTCAGGCATACAGTTGTTTTGAGTGGGGGGTAGGGGATGAAGGGGAGTGCAGGTTAAGGAAATATACAAAATTTTATTATTTTCAGGAAAATAAACAGACATGGTGACGCTGTTATTTATTTATTTTTTGCTTGTCTGAGAATGCGGTGTTTTGTTCTTTTCCTACCCAATTCTGGTATTCAAGGTTTATGGAAGTAGGGCAAAGTGGCAGTTTTGCCTGCCTTCACAAACCACAAGCATTAACAGGGATCGTCCTGGTAGTGGACACTGGAGTTTGAATGCTTGTTTTGCTCATCAATATTTTTCAAGGTAGACTGTGTGTGTGTGTGTGTGTGTGTGTGTGTGTGTGTGTGTGTGTGTGTGTGTGTGTGTGTTTTAATATGTCGCCCGAGTATCATACAGAATAATAAAAATCAGTTCGTCTCCAAACTCCTCATCGAGTATTCCTCACCAGCCCCGTGTCCTAACAGAGCAAGGCCCAGGTCTAGCACGAGGGCTGGAAGCTCTGGCTCCATATCCAGCTTTCCTTCAGCTCTATCTTCACCAGGACAGGAGCTTCAGATTCTTCTAGCAAGCGTCTCAACCTCAGGGACAGAAGATTCTACCATCCCTGCGGCAGGGCTGCGGCAGGCAAGCTGACTGCGCGGTCACGTGAGGCTGGTGGTGGCTCACGTGACCACGCTCTCACTTGGGCAAACACAGAGGTGTGCAGCACGGAAAGGGGGCAGGAAGGACGCACACTTGACGAGTGACAGACTGCCGTGGGAGGAGTGGTAGGACGTTGTGGTGGGCGGGTGGGTGGGTGGGTGTCTCTCCATGCTGCACTAACCTGGAAACGAATTTCTTGGGCGATCAGGATTACAGCGTTTGTTGGTAGAGGGCACAGCCCCTCGGCCTGTTGCCAGAGTCTTAGCCGGGGTCAGTCTTTTGCCCAGGAGCTCAAGAGGCAGGAAGTCATCCTGCGGGAGGAAGACGTGAGAGAAGCAGCGGTTGCTGTTGGAGGAGGTGGGTGCGGGGCCGGGAAATGGCATCGGTGGGAGGTGGTGGCTGAGACTAGGTGCGGGTGCAGGGAGTGCCTCGGACTCTCCTGCTCTCTGCTCTCTCCTGCCTTCTGAACACCCCTCCCCCACTCCCAGCCTCCCCGCCCCGCTCTGAGTGGCTCTGTTTGTGGGTGTGGGAGGGGGACACACGGAGGGAGTTGGCTTCGGGGGCCCAGAGAGGGGAAACGGTGAAGTGACAATTTCTGCACACCAGTGGCGTTTTTTCTGAAAAGCCAGGGATGGGAACTGATAGGATCTGTGACCGACATTACCGCTCCCTTCCTCTCACCTAGTTGGCACTCACTCTTTGCTGTCTGTCATTCAAATTCAAGAGTAAGTCACTCTTGTTGCCCCCTCATCCCCCACCCCAACTCGCCCCTTGGGTGGGGGATGAGGGGGCAACAAGAGTGACTTACTCCAAGGCTCCAGCGGCCTGGAGATGCAAGAGACGAATTAATCTCAATCCCGCCAGCTCTAGGGAAGGTGAGAGGCAACACACTTAAGAGAAAGGAACCTAGATGCTTTGGGCCCTTCACATAGGATTTCTCATTGGTATAACAGCAAGCTTCTCAACTCCCAAGAGGATCCCTGGATCTCATCCCAGGCAGCATCATTCTGGGGGTCTGCCCTGGATATGAGGTTCTGAAAGAGCCTAGCCCCATTGTACCCCCCTGACAACTCCTTCCCTTATAAGGATACAAGGGTCACTGCTCTACCTGCTGTATCTGAGGTCCCTCCCTTTTCAGTCTTGAGCCTTAAAGGAAGGTCTTTCTAGGAACCATCTGCAGAAACCGGTTTATGGATGGTCTCACAGGTTCCCCTCTGTGGACCTTAGCTCTTTTCCTTGTTTTTGTTTTCTGTCCAAAGCTTTAGACTTGGTGATTTACAGTGATCCTTTGTGGTACTGCCTTATTTGTGTTAAGCCCCTTTGGTCAGAGCCCAGAACTGTGAAATAGCCACAGTATGCCAGAGGGTTTTTTAAGGAAAATATATTTAGGAAAAATAAATTTTACTAATACCATTAATCTATTTATTTGTATATTTTACAGACTTGAAGCCAGTCAGTACATAGAGATCTTTCTCATTTTTTTCCAGCTGAATAATACTCCCTTGTGTCACTACCATAATTTGTTCAATCACTCTATATGTGGACATTTATTTCCAATATTTTCCTGTTATTATTAATGCTGGACAGATAACCTCATGCAAATGTATTTTTGTATGGTTAGAGGTCTATCTTCAGGGTAGATTCCTACCTTGGGGAAGGTAGTGGGGGGTAGTGGGGATGGTGGATCCTAGAAGTGGGGATGGATGATATGCATGTGCAGTGTAGTTTTATTAGCTATTCTCAAATATCCCTCTAAAGGGGTATTACACATTTTCACACCCACCAGCAATGGATGAGAGTGCCTGTTTCGCTACAGCCTTGTCAATCAACTTCTTATTATCCTTTTGATACTTGTAGACTATCTAGTGATATCTCCTCTCTCATTCCTAATGTTAGCAATTGGGTCTTCCCTTTTGTTTTCTTTATCCTTCTGGCTAATAAATTACCAGAATCCCACCAAGGGCCAACTGTGCAAGCAGACCTTTCTAAGGCTAGCAAATTCAGGTCTGTTATATTAACTCTTCTACACATTGGTGAATGGTGTTAGAATAATTACCTAGGCATTTGGGAAAACAAAGTTAGACCCCAATACACATGAGCAAATTACAGGAAAATTAGGTATCTTAAATATTTTAAAAGGAATGAATGGATGAAGAGAAAGAAACAGTCATTTATCTAGAATGAATTGGGGCTTGTGTTTTGTAGAGGAAAATGGATCCTTTCCACATAATACCAGTACCATTCATTAAATAATCTGCCCCTACTCCAACAATTTCTAATGTCTCCTTTGTAGTGTATAGAATTGGTTTTATATATGTTTCTGAGGTAAATACTGTCTGGTGTTAGAAATATACAGGATTGCTTATTGCAGTTTATAATAAGCATTGTGGGTTATCTAAAATGTCATATCCACAATTCACATATGTGATCAGACTCTCCAGTTAATTTTATCATTTTATCTTATCTTTTTTATCATTATGTTAATCACCATACATTACATCATTAATTTTTGATGTAGTGTTCCATGATTCATTGTTTGCGTACAACACCCAGTGCTCCATGCAGTACGTGCCCTCTTTAATACCCATCACCAGGCTAACCCATCCCCCCACCCCCCTCCCCTCTAGAACCCTCAGTTTGTTTCTCAGAGTCCATAGTCTCTCATGGTTCGTCTCCCCCTCCGATTCCCCCCTTTCATTCTTCCCTTCCTGCTATCTTCTTCTTTTTTTTAACTCATTTTATCTTATCTTTAATATAATAGCATTATATTGATTGGGGCCGAGAGGTACTGAAATTCTCATATAAGTCCTTTGAAACTCTTAGAATTTCAAAATGGAAAGTGTATTGGCCAGGTCAAAGAATATGTCCCTGTGTTGCCAAAGCCAGCTCGTTGTCTTTTATGAAGACTTTCATGATGGTGCTCATTACCTAGATGACATTTTAAAGAATCCGCAATACCTGTACCTCAACCATACCAGCTCAGAAGCTGAATTTCCTCATACAAAAAAAAAAGTAGCATCCATTTATATAGGGTGAGCTCATAATTAACAAAATTACAAGGCTTATATAGAATCCAGAATGTCAGTTTACTAATTTGTACAGGGAAATAGCAACATCAAAGGAAATAAAATAATATTATCCATTGGATTCTCTTACTGTATGTGCACCTATAGGAAATTAAAATCAAAATCAGAAGGTCAATTAAATTGAATTTAAAAGTAAATACTTTTCATATACATTTAAATGTGTAAAAGTTTGTTGTAAGGTTGGAAGGTAAGATTACTTTTATTTTAAATTTTTCAAAATTTTTTCCACATTTATTGAGATATAATTGACAACATTGTGCAAGTTTAAGGTGTACAATGTGATTATATACATATATATTGTGAAGTGATTAGCACAAATAGATTAGTTAACATCCATCACCTCCCGTAGTTATCGTGCATGTGTGTGTGTTAAGAGCATTTAAGATCTACTCTTTTAGCAAATTTCAATTTATCATACGGTATTGTTCACTCCAGTCATCAGGCTGTACATTAGATACCCAG